AAAGTGACAGTTCGTCAACGACATGAGACTACTGTTTTCTAAACCATGAGAAGAACAATTGATCTTAATCCCAAACTATGGTGGCTCTGATACCAACTGTAAGATAATTAATTCGCAGCCATAGCAGAGATTAAGACACAATTATGCAATTAATCTAGAGTCAGAGTTTAATAAAGCATATCGTTCAACTCCATCGATTCAACAGCGACAACAACTGGCGATTAAGCATGAGACCAACTTCTACAATCCACTAGCTACGCGCTCTCACAGCCCGGAGAACCTGACCGATGGGATGTCTACCTTTTTCACGTATTCAAGAGGCAGAATACGCTAGGATTTTCTAATAGCTAGGGAAAGGGGGGTTGGCCTCTATTTATAAAGAGTGTCTACCCATCACAGGCCAATTGTTATTGGGTCTCACTTATCCACACATATAATATTTAATATTAGGCTTTTTATTTATGGGTTTTTTTCGTTCCTATATACTTTTTCAAATTTTATTACCAAAAATATCCACGTTTAAGTAATTTACCCGACCTAAACAACTTTTACCTACAAAATATATACATTTGTTTAAACTAGAACCCTATCACGCCTCGAATCATGGCCTAGGCGTAACACGACACTCGGTGCCTGACTACATGTGACCGAGCGAACCAACTGTATGGCTGGATCAACATGTAGTTTAACTGTAAGCTAGATGTAAATATATAACATGATGATCTACTAAAGAGTCTGACTGAAATATCATAGATACGGAAAATACTGAAAGGTCTGCAAGTATAAACGAGTAGCCGACAAGGCTAACACATAAAAACCTGCTAATATCTGACTGACTGGGTTATAGTCTATGAAGCCTCTAAAGATACTGAAAATGCTAACTGTTTACCGGGACAAGGTCCCCGGTATATCTTATTAACTGAAATACTATAATGACTGAAAAAGGGAGGGATAATGCCCCGAAAGACTGCTTACCAATAGCTGATACGAGATGTCCTAGCAAGCAGAATCGTCAACCTGTAAATCGTTACCTGCATCACAAGATGCAGGCCCCGGGCAAAAAGGGACGTCAGTAAATTTGAATTGCACTGGTATGTAAAACAACTGAAGGAAAGAACTGTAAATACTGAAACTGAAACTGATAACTGATAATTGATAACTGAACTAAACATAGGAAGTAAGGATATGAATACTCCCTCTTCTGAATGATGAACCAACTGTTTATCTGAATAAATAGACTGCGGCCTCAGGCCCTATATATATATATATATATATATAGGTGTGTGTGTGTGTGTCCACAAACTGCGGCCTCGGGCCCAAGTATATGTATACATAACTACGGCCTCAGGCCCAAAAATGCATAAAGCATAAACTGCGGCCTCGGGCCCAAATACAGGTGTTCAACATTCAGGAACTTAGAATCAGGAACTGAGAATCATACTGCAATACATCATACTGAAATACATGATACCGGAATAATGAATAGGGCTAGATTGAGATGTGTATTCATAATAAGTTGATTTGTCATAACTGAAACTCATAGAATATTGAACGACTATGAAACTATGCCATCTACAGAATATAAGTTCTACGACTATTCATGGAACTAAGGCATAATTACTTTCTGAGGAAACTAATAATAGTCATAATTAATGGGACGTAGGGAGAATCATAGACATTCCTAGACGTAGTGAGTTAGCCTCACATACCTTAACTTCCTTCTCTTGAGCGTAATACAACGTTTGTCAACCCTTTCAACTTTAATCTATAGTAATACAAGTCAAAGGGATTCCATATTAGCTATGATACTCATGTTTTGGTCACTTAAGCATTTTATCAAACACTTGGTGAGAATAAAGCTTCATAGTCCTTATTAATGATGTCTCTACACCCAATAACCCATTCTCTTGCTCCTAGATAAATTCTAAAGTCTCAAATGGTTATAATCAACATTATTCTTTATCACCCATAAGGTAAACAACACCTTTAACCAATAATCAATAATCAACACCCCAAACCTATAATTGTTCATGCTTTTCTATTAAACCCATCAACTCATATCTCATGAACTAGAGTCTATAATCATTAATCCAATGCTAGAATCAATTAGAGGGTGAAGACATTACCTTTTTGAAGTTCAATCCCCTTGAATTCGAGTTCTAGGGTTCCTTCTCTCAACAATGATATCCCAATTGAATATCTGATGATATGGAGGGTTTACCCATGTTAATAAGATGTTGGGAAATTAAATTATCTTAGAATCACTATTATAACTTACCTTGGGTGGTGGAGGGGCCTTTAAGGAGTTAGGTTTTTGAGAGCTTCCCTTTCTAGAGCAAGTTTTTATGTTTTGGGGCTGTGGGGGACGAAGTAGGGCTTTAAAATGACCCCTCAAGTGCGCCCCCGCACACCTGTAGGCCTGACCGCTCAAAATGGCAGTAACACTGCCACAGGTGCGCGGCCGCGCTCAGGGCGCGTACTGGGCGCGCATATTGCGCACTGTTCTATAAAATGCACATAAATTTTTGCACAGAGATCTGTTTAGGCTCCAAAATATATCATTAGAAAGCTATTTCAAAGGCCTACAACGTTTTGTGTTTTGAGTTTTCCCAAATACCTTACACGTTTTTCACTAAACCTCCTGCAAGACTGACCTTTTGTAAACTTCGTAGATTTTATCGAATCTTGTACACCTCACTCTTCGTCTTGATTCTAAAATAACTATTTCCACCCATACTCATACCAATAGAACTTCACATGTCCAAAATATAACCTTACTACTCATTTAACACATTCATACCTAAGCCGGATTTACGGGGTGTTACAAATCCTTTCAGCTGTAGTCTTCCTTATTTAGACGCGTGATTTTTGGGATCGCGTATATTTCATCAAAGATTTTACCGACGCAATCATCGCAGCTCAATCAAGCCATTGTATTTGTAGATTCCTGCTATTATGCCGATTTCTCTGATAATCAAGTTCTATTCTCATGTTTTCTTTGTTTCCTCTGGTTTTCCATAAACGAAGGTTTTGGAAAAAAATTGCAAACAATTAGCTACAATTATATTGAATTTCGCGACATAATGTCAAAATTATCTATTATGCTTCTGCTAAATGGTCACTAGGATAGTTTTGGGAGATACAAAGACTTTGATGTTGATGGAACTATAGTCAGTGAAGATTCAAATTATAGTCAATTGAATTCCGCAATTGCAGAGCATCTAATGATCAATACCTCCGCAAAAATCATTGAAATCAAATACACTGTCAACGAACGTTGTCCTCCAATGGAAATTCGGAACGATATGGGAGTTCGAGTATATATGGAGACGAAAAAGGAAAATAAAAACTTAGGAATGTATCCGTTGTGTATAACAATGCGTGATTTCGATTTGGAATGCAGTATCTCAAATTCGAGCACAATTGCAGGTTTGCTCGGTTTTTTTCAGTGCTGATGTTTTGTCAATTTCACGTGTTCTACAATTTTACTACAACTTATCTACAATAAAACTACATAACAAATGTAGTTCAACTGTTATGTCTCTTTAAGTATTCTGTCAAATACTGAACACATAAATATACAGAGGTCTGAATTGTAGATTCTTTTAATTGAGTGCAGGTTCATCTGATTATCGTATGTCTAACGCGGTACATTTGTCAAGCAATTATAACACAATTGGAGAAGTATCAGGAACAGTGAAGTTGATTGATGGGCCAACATCTCCAGCAATTGTGGAATATGAAAGTATCATTATAACAGAACATACCCCAAATGTTATTGAAGCAGGCCAAGTTTACCAAGACAAACAAACAATTGTCAATGCAATGAAGCACTATTCTGTCATGAATAAGTTTCAATTTAGGGTGAAAAGGCGTAGGGCAAGAAGGTAGGAACATTTCATTTGCCAAATTCATATTTTTGTATAGTTTTTAGTTTATTTGTATATAAATTGTTTAATATAAGATTTTTGTGCTTAAACAGCCTCGTACTTTGTAGCTACATTTTTCATAACATTTTCTGAATTGTTTTTATGATGTAGCTACTACCTCGTATGTGTTGGGGACAATTGTACGTGGCACTTCAAGTCCACCAGCACAAACGAATCAGCATTGTTCAAGGTTAGAAAATTCAACAGCTTGTACACATGCTCTTTGATGGACAACACATACATATAACATAAACTTACTGTCATGGTTGTGGGCAGTATGGTGATGCCAAAATATGTGGATCCTAAGACAATATACACACCTAAAGACATACAAACTGATATGTTGTCGGATCATGGTGTGATCTTAACATACATGCAAGCTTGGAGAGCAAAGTAAAAGGCTTTGGAATTTTTGAGAGGTCATCGGGATGATTCCTACAGTCGCTTGCCGAGTTATTTGTATATTCTGGAGAAGACTTATCCGAGGTCGGTAGTGAAATTGCAGAAGACTGAAGATAACTATTTCGTGTACGCATTTGTTGCACTTAGTACGTCTATCAAGGGTTGGGAGTATTGTAGGCCGGTTGTAGTAGTTGATGGCACCTTCTTGAAGTCGGCATATAGGGGAATCATGCTAACAGCTAGCACAATGGATGCAACAAGTATTATAGATTAATTGTAGAAATATTTGTTATAAAGTTGTTTTTCAGTATTTTTTATACTCTAAAGTTTTATTACAGCAATTGAATCTCTTTTTGCCACATGTGTGATATGTAGCATATTACCACTGGTATATGCTGTTGTTGATTCAGAAAATAACGCATCATGGAGGTTGTTTTTTGAGCAATTCAAACATGCATATGGTGAAAAGCCAAATATGTGTGTTGTTTCGGACCGAAATGAGAGTATCTTGAAGGCAACATCTATTGTTTATACCGGCATGCCATATTATGCTTGCATGTGGCATATTTGGCAAATGTAAGGTCAAAGTTCAAGAAGGTTCATCTAAAGTTAAGGGAATTGTACTTTGCCACGGCACGATCATACACGCTTGATGAATTTAATGAAAGAATGTCAAAGATTGAAGAGATCGACACGGTGTTAAAGCATACTTATACAACATTGGCTATCACAGATGGTCTCGGACATGTTACGGTCAACAGAACGTGGACGATGACATCAAACATTGCAGAGTCATTGAATGCGGTAATAAAAGATGCAAGAGAGCTACCCGTAGTAGAACTATTAGAGTACATGAGGACTCTTCTTGAACGCTGGACTAATGAAAAGTTATTGAATGCAAAAGGTATGTTCACATACCTTAGGAAAAAATACAACAAAGAGTTGGAGAACAACCGGACATTATTGCAGAGGATGAGAGTAAGTTATAGCCAGTAACATCAGATCATTGATTCCATCAAACTAAATATATACTGTTAATTGTAGAAAAATTGTTGAATAATTATAGTTATTTTGTTTTTGTATCTGTTGCTGACAACTTGTTGTGTGTTTGTAATAAAATTGTAGGTGAGGCCTTCCACAAATCACATCCATACTGTGATAGATGGTGTGAAGCGCTTCATTGTGTGCCTTCAAAATAAGAGATGTACTTGTGGACAATTCCACCTTGATGAACTTCCTTGTGCACATGCTTTGGCGGCTTTGAGGCACATGAACGAGTCTTATGAAAACTATTGTTCTCCTTATTACACGAGGGAGAGTCTTTTGAAGACTTATGAAATATCAGTAGACCCGCTTCCTGATGAAAGCAAATGGAATGTGCCACAACATATAGCTGAAGAAGTTGTAATGCCACCTACTAGGAAAAGACAGCCAGGGAGACCTCAAAAACAAAGATACAAACCATATGATGAAGTAAATGCAAATAAGTACAAGGTTTCATGTGGAAAATGCGGAGTAGAAGGGCATAACAAAAGATCTTGTAGGAATGCTCCCAAAAGGAAATAAAAACTGATACAGTAACAAGATTTTTTTTTCCTTAGTACTGTTGATGATAATCGGTCCTTTAAGACATAGGAAGTTGTATTTGTTCTGTTCTGGAGAAATATAGTTGAGCTGTTATTATGTTGCCAATTTGAATAAAGACTTTCTCCTATCATGAAATGTTTGATAAAAAGATTTCAACTCTTACTTGTCACAACCCGGATTTCCCCGCCCTCGGGAATCGTGATGGCGCCTACTCGTGAAAGCTAGGCAAGCCGACAATTTCAATTTTACTACCATTATAATTAACCAAACAAGAACAGATAATAGTTAAAACAAGATAATTAGGAAGTGCGAAAAATGATATAACAGTGCCACAACTCAAGTACATAACTACCCCATAGACCTGGTGTCACAATCCATGAACGACTAAGATTTACTACAAATACAAGTCTGAAAGAAATACAATTGTTCTCGAAGTAGAAGAGACAGCAAAAAACTAAAGTAGGGAAAGGGGGATTTCAGGCTCTGCGAACGCCAGCAGATCTACCTTGGTCTCCCTGGACTGAAGGCAGCTACCTCAAGCTACTCACAAGGTCCGGCACCAAAATCTGCACAAAAAGTGCAGAGTGTAGCATCAGTACAACCGACCCCATCTACTGGTAAGTGCCGAGCCTAACCTCGGCGAAGTAGTGACAAGGCTAGAACACGACAACCATATAAACATGTGCAGTTAAGTCATATACGAACAGAACAATAATAATAGGAAATAACAGATAAAGGTGGGAAGGGGAACATGCTGCGGGGAATATCAAATTCTAACAGTAAATCAATAGAGAAGCATAATGAACACCATATTTGTATCAACAGTAATAATGAAACAGTAACACATGCACGGCATCACCCTTCGTGCTTTTACTCTCGTCCTCACCATAAGAAACAATAGAAACGGCACGGCATCACCCTTCGTGCATTAACTCTCATAATCATAGCACCGCATCACCCTTCGTGCATTTAACTCTCACAATATCGGCACGACATCACCCTTCGTGCATTAACACTCACAATATCGACACGGCATCACCCTTCGTGCATTAACACTCACTCACAATATCATGCACGACATCACCCTTCATGCTTTACACTCTTCCTCACCCAAACAATAGAAACAATACATCCCGGCAAGGGAATCAACAATAGAAACAATAACTTCCCGGCAAAGGAATCAACAATAGAAACCATAATATCCCCACGAGGGAATCAGCTATAACCAATCTCGTTTCAACAGTTAATTCTATGAAATAAGTCTCCACTTTAGTCAATACTCACAAATGATGAAATACTCAACAATATCATAAAACTTGCTCAACATAGAGAAACATCATTTTAAACACGAACAGTACATGATAAGAGACATGATGGTCATAATATAAGATTCACTTGCATGCTCGACGCCAACGTATAGATACTCGTCACCACACCTATACGTCGTACTCAACACTAACATGTTCGCATCATGGGGTTCGCATCATGGGGTTCGCAATTGCGATCAGGGGTTCGCAAGTTCGCAATTGCGAACCCTATAAATTTCTGCTGCCTTCGCATTTGCGACATAAGGGGCCTTCGCAATTCCAGCCAAAATGTCGCATTTGCGAGGATGGCCTGCCCATGCCTGGTTCGCATTTGTGACATTATTATCGCATTTCCCAGGCCTGCTCACTTTGCAATTGCGAAGCCTGATCTCGCACCTGTGCAAAACACCAGATGCATCAGCTGAGTTTTCCTAAGTTCTAATCACTCCGTGGCCTATCCAAAACTCACCCGAGCCCTCGAGGCTCTAAACCAAACATGCACGCAAGTCTAGAAATATCATACGGACTTGCTTGTGCGATCAAATCATCAAAATAACATCAACAACTACGAATTTAACCTCAAATTCATGAAATTCTTAAGAACGTTGAAATTTTCCATTTTCTCAACTAAGGGTCTGATTTATACCAAATCAACTCCGATTCTTATCAAATTTCACATATTCGACTTAACTATAATTTTTAAACCTGTACCGGGCTCCGGAACCACAATACGGGCCCGATACCATCAAGATCACACACCATTTCATTTCCAAAAATCCTTATATTTTCCAGAGAACAATTTTCTTTAAAAAAAAAATTCTCGGGCTAGGGACCTCGGAATTCGATACCGGGCATACGCCCAAGTCCCATATTTTACTACGGACACTAGGGGACCACCAAATCGCGGGTCCGGGTCCGTTTACCAAAAATGTTGACCGAAGTCAACTTTAACCAATTTTAAAGGCCAAATTCAATATTTTTCTTAAATTTCACATAAAAGCTTTCCGAAAATGCCCCCGGACTGCGCACGCAAATCAAGGAGAAAGAAAAAAGAGGTTTTCAAAGCCTCAGAACCCGGATTCGGTTTTCTAAAACGAAAGATGACCCTTTGGGTCATTACATTCTCCACCTCTAAAATAATCGTTCGTCGTCGAACGGATATAGAAAAGTACCTGAGTCGGTGAAAAGGTGGGGATATCGGCTCCGCATATCGGACTCGGACTCCCAAGTCGCTGCCTCAACAGGCTGACCTCTCCACTGTACATGAACTGAGGGGAAACTCTTCGATCTCAACTGACGAACTTGCCAGTCGAATAGCTACCGGCTCTTCCTCATAGGTCAAGTCCTTGTCCAACTGGACAGTGCTGAAGTCTAAAACGTGGGATGGATCACTGTGATACTTTCGAAGCATGGACACATGAAACACTGGATGCACAGCTGATAAACTCGGCAGCAACGCAAGTCTGTAAGCCACCTCTCCCACTCAATCAAGTATCTCAAAAGGCCCGATGAACCTAGGGCTTAGCTTGCCCCTCTTCCCAAATCTCATCACACCCTTCATGGGAGACACTCGAAGCAACACTCGCTCTCCGACCATGAATGCCACATCTCGAACCTTACGGTCGGCGTAACTCTTTTTCCTGGACTGAGTTGTACGGAGCCTATCCTGAATGATCTTAACCTTGTCCAAGGCATCCTGTACCAAATCTGTACCCAACAATCGAGCCTCCCCCGGCTCAAACCACCCAACTAGCGACCGACACCGTCTACCATATAATGCCTCATAGGGAGCCGTCTGGATACTCGACTGATAGCTGTTGTTGTAGGCAAACTCCACTAATGGCAAGAACTAATCCCACGAACCCCCAAAGTCAATAACACATGCTTGGAGCATATCCTCTAAAATCTGAATAGTACGTCGGACTGTCCGTCCGTTTGAGGATGAAATGTTGTGCTCAACTCGACCCGTGTACCCAACTCACGCTGAACTGCCCTCCAGAAATGCGAGGTAAACTTCGTACCCCGATCAGAAATGATAGACACGAGCACACCATGAAACAAACAATCTCCCGGATATAGATCTCAGCTAACCGCTCTGAAGAATAGGAAACTGCCACGGGGATGAAATCCGATGACTTAGTCAGCCTATCAACAATAACCCATACCGCATCGAACTTCATCTGAGTCCATGGGAGTCCAACAACGAAGTCCATGGTGATACGCTCCCACTTCCACTCACGAATCTCAATCTTCTGAAGCAAACCACCAGGTCTCTGATGCTCGTACTTTACCTGCTGACAATTCAAACACTGAGTTACATATGCAACAATATCCTTCTTCATTCTCCTCCACCAATAATGCTGCCGCAAATCCTGATACATCTTAGCGGCGCCCTGATGAATAGAATACCGGAAACTATGGGCCTCCTCTAGAATCAACTCTCGAAGTCCATCCATATTAGGCACACAAACTCGACCCTGCATCCTCAAAACTCCATCATCTCCAACTGTAACCTGCTTGGCACCACCGTGCCGCACTGTGTCCCTAAGGACTAGCAAATACGGATCATCATACTGCCGATCTCGGATACACTCAAATAATGAAGATCGAGCTACTGTACAAGCTAAAACACGACTGGGCTCAGAAACATCCAACCTTACGAACTGATTGGCTAACGCTTGAACATCCAAAGCAAGCGGTCTCTCACCGACCGGAATATATGCAAGGCTACCCATACTGGCTGACTTCCTACTCAAAGCATCAGCCACCACATTGGCCTTCCCCGGATGATACAAGATGGTGATATCATAGTCTTTCAGTAGCTCCAACCACCTCCTCTGCCTCAAATTTAGCTCCTTCTGCTTTAACAAATACTGCAAACTCTTATGATCCGTGAACACCTCACATGACACGCCATATAAATAATGCCTCCAAATCTTCAGCGCGTGAACAATGGCTGCTAGCTCCAAATCATGAACTGGATAATTCTTCTCATGAATCTTTAACTGCCGTGAAGCATATGCAATAACCTTGCCATTCTGCATCAACACCTCACCAAGTCCAATACGAGATGCATCACAATATACTGTAAATGGCCCTAAACCTGTGGGCAAAACTAACACCGGCGCCGTAGTCAAAGCTGTCTTGAGCTTCTGAAAGCTCGCCTCACACTCGTCCAACCATTTGAACAAGGAACCCTTCTGAGTCAACCTGGTCATCGGAGCTGCAATAGATGAAAACCCCTCCACAAACCGACGGTAATAACCCGCCAAACCCAAGAAACTCTGGATCTCTGTAGCTGATGTGGGTCTAGGCCAGTCCTTGACTGCCTCTATCTTCTTCGGATCCACCTGAATACCCTCTGCTGATACAACTGAACGACTCGAAGATGCTGCTCATGCTCCTCTCGGCTGCGGGAGTAGATCAAAATATCATCAATGAAGACAATCACGAAGGAATCCAAATACGGCCTGAACACTCAGTTCATCAAATCCATGAATGTTGCTGGGGCATTTGTCAACCCAAATAACATCACCAGAAACTTATAATGCCCGTACCGAGTGCGAAAAGCTGTCTTAGGAACATCGGATGCCCTAATCCTCAACTGATGGTAGCCAGATCTCAGATCAATCTTCGAAAATACCTTGGCACCCTGAAGCTGATCAACCAAAT